AAATAGCCTAGATTCTTACTTATCTTTTGGTTCTTTGTGATACTTTTGTAGTATATTTCTACTTCCAATTATTGTGATCCTATCGCTTCTTGGCTTTTTGGCTAAGATCAAGTGTAGCAATTATTGTGATCCCTACAATACATTGTTACTATTTTTACATTATACAGATAAAGAATTTTGCTTTATTTTTAATACATTAAAAAAACCCAAATCCATACTTTTTGTTTCTTTGTTTAGGTCCAAATTTCTATCTGATATAATTTTTCTTTTGCCCTAAGAACTTACCTTAATATTTATTTTAATGCCGGTCTGTTGGCAATGAGTTCTCTGTCTTTGTTCCTCTGAAAATGTCCTATTTTTGAATGATATTTTCACTAGGCATACATTTTGGTTTGACAGATTTTTCTCGAATAATCTGGCTGCATTATCTTCTGGTTTGTATAGTTTATTATGAGAAATGTTTCATCGTTCTTACCATTTGTCTTTTGTATTCAGTAGTTCTTGTTTTCTGACTGCTTTCAAGACTTTCTGTCTGGTTTTGCAGCTATGCGACGGTGATGCATCTAAGTGAGGTTTTCTTTGCATTTATCCCATTGGGTTTTATAAAGCTTTAATAATTTTTAAAAATTTTGGTCATTATCTCTTTAATTTTTCTATTATTTTTATTGCTAGTTATTGTTTTCTGTTCTATCTTCTTCCCCTGTGGTTCCATTCGCATGTGTAATAGACCTTTTGCTTTTGTCCCATGGTTCTTGGGTATTCTGTTAGTTTTTATCTGCACTCTCTTGGATGTTGGATTACCCCACAGATCCTTGGGTTACAGGCTTGATGCCCAGGGTGGGATTATTGGAGGTGGTGGTACCTTTGAGAGATGTGTGCTATTGGGAGGTCTTTGGGTCATTGAGGATCTGTCCCAGAAGGTGATTGTGGGGCTGGTCTCCCCCCACCACACCTTTTCTCTGTAGCTCATGACATAAGCAATTTTATTTTGTCACATTCTCACATCATGATATACTACTTTGTCACAAGCTAGAGTAATGGGAGCACTGATCATGGACTGGACCCTCCAAACCTTAGAGCCAAAATGACTCTTTCCTTTTTACAGGTGATTCTTTTGGACATTTTGTTGTAACAACAGAAAGCTGAGTAACCCAGTATTTCAGCAAGGGTAGTTTGTATTGCTCCATATTCAAGTTCACTGAGTCTTTGCTGTGTTTGCTTTGCTGATAAACTTGTTGCAAGACTTCCTTGTCACTGATACTGTTTCATTTCCAGCCTTTCTGCTTGATTGCCCTTAATAATTCCATTGCTTTCTTACTTCTTGTTCGTGGAAACCCACTTTTCCCACTACACTCTGATACGATGTGCTAATTCCCACTATAATCCGATGGTTTCAACAGTTTGTTCAATTCTAGGGCTAGGTTTTCTTGAGATAGGTTTTCTCTGTGAAGCTGAGGCTGATCTTAAATGTGTGTGCACCAATGACTGTACCTCCTTAAGTCTTCTGAGTAACTGGGATAACTGGTGTGCCTCACTGTGCCCAAAGGGTCTGGTTCTTTTATCTGGCTCTTTTTATATCTCAAAAATAGGGTTTTTGCTTTTTTTTGGAGGAGTGGGGTGCTGGAGATCACACCCAGGACCTTGTGTATGCCAGGAAAACACTCTACCACTGAGCTACCTCTCTAGCCCTTGGTCTTTTCTGTTACTTAATTTCATGTGTCTTTAATCTTTGACTGACTACCAGACATTGTGTATAAAAGAGCAGTCATGGATGAGGTAAATGATAATTATTCCTAGAAATGGGCATATTTCTTATTACTGGCTGCAGTGTAGGGTCCCGAGTCAGGCCAGCCTGTAGTTAGTTTGGCCTTAGGTTCTGGCATTGCTATACTTATGTTCTATGTACTATGAGCTTCACAATTCTCCGGGGAAGGCTGCTGCTGCTTTATGCTTCATTTGAGGCCTGAGTCTTGCAGAAATTTTTTTTCACTATTACTGCTCCATTCATCCATGTATGTATGCAACACAGAGGGAATCTCTCTGCAAGTTCTAGCCCCTTCCTCAAGTTGAACTGCTGCTCCTTTTTATGTGGTGCAAGATTTGTGGTAGAGGCAATGGATTCTTGGTTCTCTTGCTCTAGTTTCAATCTTAGACAGTCCTGACCTTGAGCCCCAAGAGTAGGGCTTTGTTTCTGTTCCTCTCTCGTTTGCCACAGCTAGACCTCCTATTCAGTGCAGATACTAGAGCCCAGACAGACTTCTGTACCTCCCTCCCACGGAAACCAAATTTTGCCTCACTGATGGGGGGATCTTGAGGGTGAATGAGATTCCTGTTTTTCCAGCAGCAAGAGAAGAAGGAAGAGGAGGAGGAGGAGGAGCCAACACTGTACCCTGCTTTGTATCAGTGCAAGGTCCTGGGTACCAATATCAGTGTTGGGTGCAGGTGGGGGCTCCCTACTCCTCCATGGAGAAGTGGATATTGGCCTGGCAGTAGGTCAGGGACTCGTGGGATGGGGGTCTCCCATCATCAAGGCTGGGGTGCAGATATATCTGCAGCAGCCAGCCACCACCTCGTCTTCCTGCAGGGGCCAAGCTCAGGGAGGCTTTCCAGGTCTTCCTTATCCAGCCTCAAACCTTACCAGGTCCTACCTGTCATCCTAGAGCCTCCCTCAGGTCCTGCTCCCTTCCAATCAATTTCATCATCTAGTGGGTGTGGAATCCTCTTGCATCTGGGGCCCTTGGGGATTCTAAACCTGCCACTCTAGCCATTAAGAATTCATTAAGGTATCAGTTGTTTGCTTCTGATCTACTTTTGTGTCAACCAGCCCTTCATTCACACTCTGTCAGAGGACAAACCATTCATGTGTTTCGTGTATCAATAGCATTGTCTTCAAAAGCCATTACTGTCAGAAATCAGTTTACTAGTTTACCTTGGACCTCAGCTCTCCAAAGGGCTCAAATGGATTTTGTACATCATTGGATTTTCCATTGTCATGGTGGAACAATATTCTCCTATGACTCTCTATGTCCTAAGTGGAAATAGAAATCATTTTAATGTGGCTTTTGGACAGTTAAAGAATAAATTTCCTGTTTGTTGCTTCAATTATACATTTTATTTTCTATTATGCTAACTCGTATAGCAAGATTACATTTTTTTCTTGTACAACTTGGTTTTATTGAAATGAATTGCTTTTGTTTTTCCTTTGTGTGCTTTCCCTAAGACATGCCTCAAAATAATTTTTCCATGTGTTCAGACCCATCAGCCTACATATTCTTTTCTTCCTTCTTTTTCTTCGAGGTCTCCCTTTTGGAACCTTTTCTCCTGCCTGCTTCTGGATGGGATGTGTCCCGTGGTTCTTCAAACATCAGCCTGGGCCTTCCTTTCTCTTCACACATCATCTAGTATAGCAGCTTCACTTCTCCTGTGGTGAGGTTTCCTGTACCCTGTATTTTCTTTTATTATTTACATCCTCATTTTGTTGGAGCACATCCTCTGATAGCATCTTAAGAAATGATCCCTGTTTCTATTTGACCACTTAAGAATTGATACCTAAAAACTCAATTGCTTGGCTGGGCTTGATTATTGGTTGGTTGGTTTGTTTTGTTCTGTTTTTGAGACAGGGTCTAACTATGTAGTTGAGACTGACCTGGAACTCACTATGTAGCCCAGGCTGGTCTCGAATTCACAGTGATCCTCCTGCCTCAGCCTCCTGAGTGCTGAGATTACAGGCATGCGCCACCATGCCTGGCTTGGGCTTGATTATTGGTGAGGCTTTACTGTAAGTTGGATCTTAGCCATTTCATCAAAGAACACTAAAGTGTCAATAGGTATGAAGTACTTTTCTTGGAATAATCAATTCTTCAGAGAATTTTCTCTTAATTTGGGCCACAGCCCTGGCTACTGTAGCCTTCTGAAAGCTGAGTGGGAAAGGAGATGGGAGGGGATTTGGCTTAATATTTTATACCAAAATGCAGCTCCCATCTTCTACAATTCTCTGTGGTGCACCTTCTGCAGGGAGTGAACTTTATGTTGGAGTAGGATTGTGGATGGCAGAGTGGTAGCACAGGGGACTTGGCGACTGAGTTGGACAATTAATTAATTTTTGCTTTTTAGGGGGACAGGATCGCTCTATGTAGTTCAGGCTGGCTTTGGACTCACTGTGTAGCCCAAGTTGGCCTTGGACTCACAGCGATCCTTCTGCCTGCTCCCTGAATGCTGGGATTACAGATGTGTGCCACCACTCCTGGGAGCTGGACTCTAATGACACAGCCAACAACCACCTGTTTTAGCCTCTTCCTTTATCCCTACTACAGATGTTTCCAGTGCCTCCCAGCTCGCCAGTGTTTCTCAGGTGTTGAGGCTTGAACTAATTGGCTGCTTCTTGTCCCCTCCCCCACCTCTCCACACTCCTCCCCACTGCAGGCAAATGGGTTCAGCTTTTTGCCTGACAAATTTATTACGAGGTGGCCACTTGCTCGGTGCCTTCCAAGGTTTGTTGTCATCTCTGATCTCTGCCATTGTCTTTTTCCCTACTGTTTCATCTGTGATTCAGTGCCTGCTCATTCACTTCCATTTTGGTGGGGTTGCAGGGGGTAGACATGAATTTGCAGTATTTCAGCAGAAGCTTATTTGCTCATTTTAAAATTGAGGAATATGAAGGTAGAGAGACCTTTGATGAGTTAATTACAGGACAGGATGAGATGCCATGTTTCTTGCTCCCAGGCAGTTTCCCCTGGGTGAGGCTGGAGTTCAGGGGTGCCCCCAACAGGGCATTTTGGGGGGCACCTCAAGCTGAGCTGATGGCAGTTATTACTTAGTGCTCGGTCATGGAGTTAGAGACCTGATTTCAGCTACCTTCAAGCAGAGTAAGACCCTTTGTCCCTCGCTGTGCCTGGACTTTCTCATCTTATGATATTGCAGGTCCCACCCCCAGGACATACCAGGGGCCTGGAAATCAGAGGTGGCTTTTACCATGATGACAATGGCTTCACCTTTTCCAGGGCAGGAGCCAGTTCTTGGAGAAGACCTTGTACAGGGCATGGATTGCTGCAGGGCTCTTTTCTTCTGCCTGTGTCTTCTGACTTCTCAGGGCATGACAGCAGGTAAGAGAGCTCTGCCACATGGGGTGAGGGGGAGCAGTCCAGGGTACGGCTGGGATGTGGGAGGTGGAAAGGGGCTACTTTGGCCTCCTGGAGGCAACAGCATCAGAGAAGCATAAGAAGTCTCAGCTTGGCTCTCACAGGCCTTGAGCCTAGGGGCAGAGGATGGCTGAGGATGCAGGCTGAAGAGGAGTCTGAGTCTTTCTTCCCACAGAGATCACATCAAAAGAGATCCTTCATTGGATGCAGAGAATGGAGTGGCCTAAGGGCCGGAAATCCCCTTCTCCTGATGAGTGAGTTGACCTTGTCTGTGCAGTCAGCTTTACCTCCTACCCCAGCACTACTTTCAACCAGTGGTTCAGGGCTGGTCTGGTGTAGACTCAAGGTGCATGTAGCTGGGCATGGTGGTGCACGCCTGTTATCCCAGGACTCTGAGAGGCTGAGGCAGGAGATTGCAAAACTGAGCCCACCTTGGGCAACTTAGCAAGACCGTCTCAGAATAAAAATGTCTAGTTTTGTGGTTTAGAGGTAGAATGCCCCTGGGTTCCTTCTCCAGTACCACAGGGGAACTCGGTGCTATATTCAGCATGTATTTATTGAATACCTGTTGTGTGCATTCATTTATTGAGTACCTATGGTAAACAGGATAAACAGTCACCACTCCTGGTGTTTATTGTCTAGGGTGGGGGCCTTTAACCATCATGAAATCGAAGTGGGCTTCTGCATTTTCTGGGATGGGGCTTCTGTGACTGTGGCTGGACTTTGCAGGGTCTGTGACCCTAAGACCAAGCAGCTCCGGGGAGAGGCCATTGCAGCTGACTGGCTGGGCTGACAGGATACTTTGGTCAGGGGGTGGAGGAGCAGTCAGGGAATAGTTCCTGGAGGAGGTGACAGCAGACTGAGACGTGAACAGGAGCTAAGTGGGAGAAGGGTTGGGTGGAGTGGGGAGTCCAGAGTGTGACAGGGCCTGGAGCTGCGAGTGATGGGCTGGGAGGGAGGCCTTGTCCTCCCAGGCTCTGAGCCCCCTCCCGTGGCTCCACCCCCTGGCCCTGTGTCCTGCCCGCAGCCAAGTCCATGGCCTTGAGCAGAGGCTGCTGAATGCCACCTTCCACGACAACACGCTAGAGTTGAGCACGAACACCATCCAGTCTCTGGTCTTCAAGCTGGGCTGCAACTTCACTGGCCTCTCCTTGAGCAGTGCTGCTCAGGAGCGGGCCCCCCAGGTCAGAGGCCAGGGCATGGGGTGGCAACTGCCTCTGCCCCAAGTCCTGTGGGGATTTAAAGTCCAAGCTGCCCCCAGCCTGGGCTCCTTCCGGACAGACAGCACTGCCTCCTGTGCAAACTGAGAGGTAGCAACAGAGAGGGAGGTGCTGGGGCCCTCGGGGACAGTATTTTCTTCCAGCCTTTGGCTAGAGGCAGGTGGAAGGCAGGTCCCTATCCCTCCCTAGCACCCTGCATGCCTGGTTGGTGTGGGGAGATTGCTCTTTCTTGTGGCCCCAGCTGGCGGGGAGCACACCCAGATTCCAGGCTGGAACGGCAGGGTGGAAACCTGGGCGTGGGATCTGAAGGAGAGGCTTCTGCAGGTGGTGGCTCCAGGAGGAAGCTACCCAGGGAAGCCGGGAAGACTTCACAGGGAGTGGGGAACCCAAGGAGTGGGGCCCATCGGGGGCCCTGGACACTGTACTCAGCCTCCCCGTGGCCCCCATAGGCCCGGGCCCTGCATGCCATGCACTTCCCTGCGGCGCTGACCTGGGACACCTGTGCGAAGCCTGCCCGGCCCAGGGAGCTGCGACTCATCTGCATCTACTTCTTTACCACCTCCTTTTTCCAGGTCAGCAGAGGGCACAGAGGAGGGTGGTGCCTACCCTTCCTGGTACTTTGCAGGCACCCATGCACTGTGCCACCCCAGCTGGGTCTCAGTTTCCTTAACAGCTGTAGGGAGGTGCAATTGCCACCGTCAGATGGGACTAAGAAACCCAATTTGTAGATGCCCGTGCAGGAGGCAGACTCAAGGCACAAGGTCTCTGTTCTCAGGGAACTCTCCAATCAGACATCTAAAAGTCAGTTGTGACCATAGAGATACAAAGCGGTGGATGAGTGGAGGTGGGTTGGGCCCAGGAGGGCTTCTAAAGAAGGTGCCCTTCAACCTTGGCTTTGAAAGTGAGCTGGGATAGCGGCAAGGGAAGGGATGATGCTGGATTGCGTCAGACAGGTCAGAGGTGGGCGGGGCGCTGAGCTGAGAGCACATCTGGGAAGGCTGGGTCGGAACACCTGGACACACGAAGGCCGCACTGGCTCCTCATTGGGGCAGAAGGGCCTCCCATCCCCCTCCATTCAGCCCTTCTGTGCTTTAGGATAACAACAACTCATCCCTGCTCAATAATCTTGTCCTGGGGGCCCAGCTGGACCAAAGGCGCGTGAACAACCTTAGGGAGCCAGTCAACATCAGCTTCTGGCACAACCAAAGCCTGGTACTGTTGGGGGTGCCCCCATTTCCACCCCATCCCTGTCCCCTCTGTGGTTGTTTTTTTTGGGGGGAGTACCAGGAATCGAACTCGGGTCCTTGAGCTTGCAAGGCAGGCGGCAGAACCACTGAGCTAAATCCCTGGCCCGTGGCTGTTGTTTTGAATGTTGATTTCACTCCAAGGTTAGCCTTAGTGTTCAAATTAGTTTGACTCAGAGCTGTGGTGCCATCTTGGAAATAAGCTGTCTTAAATCCACCCCACAGTGAAAATTCCTGCCAAGGAAATGAGAAGGAAGCTTTTGCTCATTGCATTCATTCATCAGGATTCTTTTAGTGGCCAGTGATAGAAAAACACCTCAAGCCAGTTTAAGCACCAAAGGAATTTTACTGGCTCACATCAATGAAACGTCCAGAGATTGCTTTGTTTCCATCATGGCTCAGACTTTCTCCATCTCTCAGGAGTAGTTTCCTGCTTTTTTCCTGTTTTTATTCTATGGCAAGGTGGATGCTAAAAAGCCCTTTTCCCAGAAGGCTTTTTCTCACCAATGCAAATCAGGATTCCAGGATCCTAAAGGGCCAACTGGGTCATGTGCCTGTCCCTGAACTAGTCTCTGCCCAGGAAGATGAAATGTGGGAGTTGGCCGGGCCTGTTCACCTGGGGTTGAGGAGTGTACTCCCAAAGGGAGAGCAGGTACAGATACTGGCCACTAGGTAGACATAAGCCCAGTGCCCCTGCTTCCTGATCCCTGGCATCCCTGGAAAGCCTGGAGTGCTATTTTGTTCTTTCTACCCTGCAGCCTTGTGAGGACTTCTCTACACTATTTTTTTTTTTTTTTTTTTTTTTTTTTGTACTGGGAATTAAATCCAGGGAGTTTGCACCGAGAGTCATCCCCAGCCCTTTGAAAAATTTACATTTTGAGACAGAGTCTCACTAAGTTACTTAGATGGGACTCAAACTTGTGATACTCCTGCTTCAACCTCCCAAAGTCCTCTTGCCTGTCTCCTAGAGTACTGGAATTACAGGTGTGTACCACCAGCACTCGGCTCCTGCACTTTTTACTTCACTGTCATCCTTTGCTTGCAACTGCTGGGCTTTGCCATTGCAGTACCTTCTGCTGGAATGAAAATCAAGTCCTTCAAAGCCTTGGCACCAGCCTTTATCCTGCGGTGCCCTGGTATGGCCTGTGTCATTTGCCCAGCTTTCCATCACCTGAGTGGCTACGATGGAGTCTCCCTGTCCTGCCCTGGGCCTGGGCCTGGACGATGGGTGCTCCCCATTGACAGGGAGGAGGGAGAAGGGACAGTTGACCATGGACACCTATTGTGTGCAAAGCCACCGTGTTCCTCATGATGCCTCAGCACCTTTATTTCCTGCCTATTTGTGTCCTGGGACTGAATGCCCCCACTTTCAGATGGATAAACTGAGCCTCAGCAAATTCTGCTGACTAGCCCAGGTCCCTCTAAAAGCCTGTGCTGGAGGTGGGGCTGGCCTGGGACCATAACAGCCCAGCCAGTGCCTGTCAAGTGCTGACAAGGGAGCATTTGAGTCTCCTTTGGCTCACAGGACCCCAACACCCTGATCTCTGGCCCCTCTCTGCACCCCTGGGACTGACCCCACATCTCCCCTCAGGAAGGCTATACCCTGACCTGTGTCTTCTGGAAGGAGGGAGCCGGCAAGAACAGCTGGGGGGCCTGGAGCCCTGAGGGCTGTCGCGTGGAACAGCCTTCGCCAGCCCAGGTGCTTTGCCACTGCAACCATCTCACCTACTTTGCGGTTCTCATGGTGGGTGCACTTCTGGCCTGGGAGGGGATCAGAGCCACAGAGGGCCCAGGGTATGTGGCAGAGAGAAAGGCAAAAGCTGGTGTAAGGGACAGAAAATCCAACTCAAATTGGTTTAACTCACATGCATGCACATGCGCACACACACACACACACACACACTCACACACTCACACACAGGCTCATGTTCCTGAAAAGGCTGGATTAGGCTTCAGGAAAGGCTTGATGCAGAGGCCAGAGGGCTGAATATTACTAAGACAGGACTTTGTTTTTCAAACTGTGATTGCCTCATGCTGGCCTTATCCTCAGGCATAGTCTCCCCTCTGGATAATAATACTACTGACAGTCATTCCAGGTTCATCCTCTGGTCGCTTTCAGGCCAATGGGACAACAGCCTCTGTTACCCAATTCTGCCAGCCAGAGTCTGGGGAGTGAGTCCTGCTGGCTCATGGTGTGTCATGTGCTCATCTCTAGAGTCAATCTCAACAGGCAGGAAGGAGAAGGGCTCTGATAGGCACCTGTCCACACACACCTGTGGGCACAGAGAATGGCAGACTGGGAGTTTTCATAGAGGAAGGGGGATGGGAGCTGTAAAGGCAAAAGCTACTTCATCTCTGCCATGACCTCAGTCAAGCTAGGACTGGGCTGGGCCAATGGGGAATGGGAAGGTGAGGCCACTGTGGACCCTCTGACGGACCTTGGGAGGGCAACTCCATGTTTCATCTGCAGCCTCCCATCCCTCCCACAGCAACTGTCCCCAGCCCCGGTCCCTGCAGAGCTGCTGGTGCCTCTTGAGTACATCTCCTTTGTGGGCTGCAGTGTCTCTGTCGTCGCCTCGCTGCTCACCGTCCTGCTGCACCTCCCTGCCAGGTACCCTGTGCCTGGGCGCTCACCTGCCCATCTGCCACTGCTCCACCCTTGCTTTCCCACCTGGGCTCCCCTCAGCCTTGCAGACCAGTGGCTTCAGTTGGGACCCTGCCCTGTCCACTTCAGTGCCCCATCGTTGCTCATCTGTGAGCCCAGGGGGTGGCACTGCTGCGTGCTGTCCCCAGGCCATCCTGTCTACTGTAGGAAGCAAGGTGACTCCATAAGACACATCCACATGAACCTGCACTTCTCCGTGCTGCTGCTGAATGTCACCTTCCTCCTGAGCGCGGTGCTGGCGAGGCCCTCCGGGGCTGCGTGCACGGTGCTGGCTGCCCTCCTGCACTACGCCCTGCTCAGCTGCCTCACCTGGATGGCCATCGAGGGCTTCAACCTCTACCTTCTCCTGGGGCGTGTCTACAACATCTACATCCACCGCTATGTGCTCAAGCTCTGCACTCTGGGCTGGGGTGAGCCAGTGTCCTCCCCTCGAGCCTGACGAGGCCTCCAGTGGGCAGGGAGTTGACCCCTTATCCTCTCTTTGCAGTCACAGTGACACCTCTGTAAATGCAGCCATCATCCCTTTCACACGCACCATTGCTTTCTCTAGCATTAGTTTCATGAGCACCTCCACCTCCGACAGCACCATCTCCGCCACCGTCACCTCTGACCACCTCTAACCCACCACTACTACTGCCACCACATTACCTGCTCCACCTCCGACAGCCCCATCGCCTTCACCACCTCTATCTCCAAACCCCACGATGGTCACTTCCTTCACCTCCATGTCCAACCACCACCACCCCACTCCCAACACCCCCATCCCAATGTCCGCTTTCCACAGCATCACCCCCACCGCTGCCATTGCCATCATGACTGTGTTCCATCACCACCTCCAGCCTCGTCCTCATTGTTGCCACAGTTTCCATCACCATGGGCACCACTTTCACCACCTTAGTCCCTTCCCTTATTGTCTCTATTTCTTAACCAGGTCCTTGCCTCTCTCCCACGACTCCTGCCACCTTGTCCCCATTGTGAGCACCGCTATAGCCACTCCCATTCTGTCCTAGAGCTGTCCCTAGAGTCACCTTGGAAAAGGATCAGGAGAGCCCCTGAGTTCAATCCCTAATGCTACGAGAAACAAAAATCTGTCTCCAAGCCCCCTAGCTCATTGCTCTGGAGTTGGACCACACGTAGGGGCCGGAGCTCAGCCAGTCTTCTTCCTCCTCCCTTGCCCAGTGAAGTTCTCTGTTCCTAGGCGCAGGGACCCGGCCAACCCTCTCGGGCCTCCTGACCCTTTGTCCCACTCCAGGGGTCCCAGCGATCCTGGTGCTGCTTCTCCTCGCTGTCAAGAGCTCAGTGTATGGACCCCATGTCATCCCTGTCTCCTACAGCCAGGAAAATGGCACAGGCTTCCAGAACATGTCCATGTGAGTGCCCCAGGGCAGAAAGGCCACCCAGGCCTGGTACTCAAGAAGGTATCTCAAGGGCAAGGCCTTGGCTGAGGAGAAGAGCAGGAACCATGGCTTAGACAGGGCAGGCTTCAGAGGGCTTTGCCCACCCCTTCTGTTAGATAGAGGGTTGTGTTCTGCACCGGTTGCCTCTAGGGAGCCACAGGACAGATACCAGCACCTGCTAAGGCCTCTAGGTCCTGGCATGTAGCCACCTGGCTGGCCACCCAGCCCAGTGTCATCTTCCAGCTGTGGGCTGCTGTGTGGTTTGGCCCACACCTGATGGTTCCACCTTCAGACTGCTAAGTTTTGCTGGCACCCGAATGGGCACAGGGCATTGCCAGGCCCCTCAAACCTTCCTGGTGGGAGAAGCAAGTGTGCATGGGGCTGGTGCTGGGGCTGGGTATGCTGTGGGGTTAGGGGTCAGCACGTGCAGGCCACATTTCCAACCACCGACATAAACTGCCACGGCCCTCTAGCCTTCGTGGTCCTTTCTGGCTGACACCAGCTCAGGGTGGCCAAGGGCTGCCCTGTGATGGCCTGCTCACTGCTTGGCTGGGTGGCCCTGTGGTCAGCCCTGTTTTACAGTCAGGCCAATCGAGACACAAACCATTTGAGAACCAGCCCAAGGAGATCTAGGCACTCAGTGCAGAGCTGGGACTTGGTCACAGGCAGCTGGCTCTAGAGCCGTGGTCCCCAACTACTGTCCCCCATCCAGCTTCAGGGGTCACTGAAGGCTCAGAGCCAGGTTGGGGAGGTACAGCCAGTGCTCTCACTGGGAGGTCAGGTTGGCATCTCCAAGGAGGTGTGGCTTAGCACTCTTCAAAGATGTATTTGATTATGGAATGTGGCCTGGTGGCACATGTCTATGATCCCAACACTCTAAGAAGCTGTGACAGGGGGATTTCAAGTTTGAGTCCCACCTGGGAAAATTAGAAACTTAGGGAAACCCTGCCTCAAAATAAAAAAATAAAAATGGGCTGGGATGCAGCTCAATGTGAAGGCCCTGTGTTCAATCACTGGTTAAAAAAGGCGGGGTGGGGTGGGGGCTTAAGTGATGTAAGGGATTTAAGTCACAAGATAGGAAGCATAATGTGTGAATGTCAGGGGCCCCACCCTAGGAACCAGCCTCCCCCTGAGGCTTCCTCACCTCCACACCTCAGGAAACTGTTACCCTGACCTCTGAGACTTACTCTCCTGCAGAGTTAAGTCTGAAACATATACATTCCACAACACAAATGACAATTTGAAAAACACCCCTTGAGCTGGCATGGTGGGTAATTGTGTATAGTCCCAGCACTCCGGGAGGCTGAGGCGGGAGGATCACAAGTTTGAGTCCTATCTGGGCAATTTCATAGTCTAGTGAGAGCCTGTTTAAAAAAAAAAAAAAAAGTCTGGGGATGTAGTTCAGTGTGAAGGCCCTGAGTTCAATCCCTAGTGCCCCAAAAAACAAAAACAAAAAAAACCTCTTGAGCATGATTCATCTGTCTGCGGTGGGACACAGGAGTCACCAACTGTGCTGGGACATCACCTGGCCAAGAGAATGAAAGTCCGCACTGTGCTCACTGAGGGGGATGTGGTGGATGCTGTGGGTGTCAGGAGCCCGTGCTGGGCACTCAGCAGGGACTGGGGGACAGTGAGAGGCACGGACTCTGGGCTCAGAGCAGAGCCCAGGCAGGGCTCCAAGTTCCACCTTAGTCTCTTACTAGTGTGTGCTTTGGAGCCAGTCTGTGTAATTAGGCTGGCTAGGTTCAAAGGTCATCGCCATGGAGATCGAGGAACAGCCCATGACAGAAGGCACACAACCTGGTGTCCCACTGGGGTGAGAGGCAGCACTTGGGGGAGGTATGCCTGCTCCTGCGCCCTGTTCTTGCATGGAGGTGCTCCTCCCCACGCTGCTCCAGAAGGGAGCACCAGCCCAGTCTAGCTGGGAGAGGTAAACTGCTGCAGAAGGGATTTGGGGGCACAGAGAAGAGGATAAGATGGTGGGAGGGTAGAAGGCAGGTTTCCAGGACAGCGCACCGGGCCCGTGACCGAGTAGGCTGCGGTACACAGAGGCATGAAGCCGGCTGTGTAGAGGGGAGAAGGAAGGAAGGACAGACTTCAGCGGAGCCTGAGAGATGGGCGTGGCTGGAGACTGAGCACAGGGTGCTTTAGAAAGACACGAGGTGGGTCCTAGTGCGGTGGCCTTGCTGGAAAGCTAGACCAAGGCTTCACCGTGTGTGCTCTCGGGCCAGAGGCAATGGTCTGAGTGGTGAGACGGACGCGTTGAAAGGGCAGGCTGCAGTTGAGTGTGGTGGTGCGTGCCTGTAATCTTTGCACTTTTAGAGGCTGAGGCAGGAGGATTGAAGTTTGAGCTCAGCCCAACGAGTGACAGTGAGATCCTGTCTCAAAATTAAAAAATGAAACAACAACAGCAAGAAAGGGCTGGGGGTGTAGTTCAGTGGGAAGGCCCTGGGTTCAAATTTCAACAACAACAAAAGGAAGGATGGAACAGAGAGAGAGAGAGAGAAAGAGAGAGAGAGAGAGAGAGAGAGAGAGAGAGAGAGAGAGAGAGAGAAGAGAGAAGAGAGAGAAAAGAAGAAAAGGGGCCAATCTAGCAGCCCAAACGCACCTGGCCCCAGCTTCCATTAGAGCCACCTGACCCTGGTGCTCTGCCTGTATCACGCAGGTGCTGGGTGCGGAGCCCTGTGGTGCATGGTGTCCTGGTCATGGGCTATGGCGGCCTCACAACCCTATTCAACCTGATGGTGTTGGCCTGGGTGCTCCGTGTGCTGCGCCGGCTGCAAGTACAGAAGAAGGTGCTGGGCTCCAGGGCCTTCCGGGACACAGTCACTGTGCTGGGCCTCACCGTGCTGCTGGGAACCACCTGGGCCTTGGCCTTCTTCTCCTTCAGTGTCTTCCTGCTGCCCCAGCTCTTCCTCTTCACCATCTTCAACTCTCTCTATGGTAGGCAGAGCCTGCGGGGCCGTAGCGGGGTGGCAGGGTGTTCACTGCCCAGAGGGCAAAGTGAGGCTGAGTCCACAGCTCCACTCATCAGGCTGGCAGTGGGGAGAGGGGGGCTCCATCCAACCTGTAGGGCCAGTTGTGGGTCTCGGCTCTTGGGGCCACCTTTTCCGTCCCCCAACAGGGAGAGGTTCTGCGAGGTTCTCCTGGGCCCCGGGGAGGCCCTGCTCATCCCATTCAGAAGTCCCTGGGATCTGGGTGGGCCCTCAGCTGCTCAATGATGGGTCCCCAAATCTACCTTTTCTTGCAGGTTTCTTCCTGTTCCTATGGTTCTGCTTCCAGAGGTACCGCTCAGAGGCAGAGGCCAAGGTGGGGAAGGAGGCGCTCAACTCTTCCCAGACAGTGCACTAATCCAGGCTTCCTGGCCTGGAGCCCCAGCCTTTCTGGAACCTGCAGCCTGAGGCCCTGGCTCCCCCCAGAGGCAGGACATCAGACACCCCCATTCCCTCTGGGGACCCTTGGCCAGATCCATGGCCTCCCCAGGCACGCAGGGAGTGCAGGGACTCTGGCCTCCGCTGACCTGCTGCAGAGCAGGCCCAGCCCCACCTGGGAACAGCACAGCTGGCAAGGCCTGTAGGCAGACCATGGGCTGAATGCCATTTTAAGGCCCGGCTCTGGGCCTCTCTGTGTGACTGTGGGGCTGTCTCTCATGGACCTTAAGTTTCTACATCAGTGATGTGGAGGGAAGAGGCTCTGACAGCTATGTGAATCATGACTAAGATGGCGGGTGTCAGTGGGGGTTCACCCCATGACCCCCATCTGCCTGATGGGGGCTGGATCTCTGCCTTCCCCCTTTAGAAGACTAGACTGTACCTGTCCCTTGCCCCTGCCCAGCACTTAGCAACCCAGACACCAGCCTATATACCTAAGGCCACTTTTCCTTTGACCCTGAAATGATGACAACTCAGCTTCAAGCCCACCTTTTCCAAAGACTGAGCAGCCCAGTCCTTCCCAGAGCCTCCTCCTCCAGTGCTCCAAGATTCCCACCGCCTTTCAGGCCAGCAGCCAAGGGCCTTCTCAGGGTGGGAGGGGACGCTGCTTTCCCTCCAGCTGAGACAGACCCCTGGGCCTCAGCGACCTGGCTGAGGATGACTGGGCTGGCAGATGGTGGGCCTGAGGATGAGGGTTCTAAGCCCCGATCTCTGGCCACAACCTCAGGGAATCACCATTGCTCTTGACCTGGCTGTCAGAACAAGTGGGAGACAATGCTCAAGAAACCCTGCCTTTCCCAGGATGGACACCAGAGGGCGCCGCTAGCACGTGAGCAGAGGCATTGGCCTCAATTGCGGCTGAAAACGCTGCCTTCCCTCATCTGAATCTGACATGTAGGTTGTCACCCCCAGGACTGCATCTGTTGAGTGACCGCAGGAGGAAACTCTAACCCTGTTCACAGACTCAGTTGTCTCTTTCCCTGGTGCAGCTGTCTGAGGTCGCTGTCTGGGCTTGTGTCCAAACTGGCTCTGGGGCAGACTCTCAGGGACCTGCCCAGCCCCTTGGACCTCACAGAGAGGGAATTGGATCCATGTCCTGACAGGGGTTTCTTTGCCTGTCTGTACATTTCTGGATGCAGATAGCTCCTTACCAGCTGGTGAGAGGTGCAGGCTCTGGGGCCAGGCTGCCACTTGCTAGCTGTGTGATACAGATGAGTCTCTAAACCTCTGTGCTCCTCAGTTTCCCCATCTGTATGATACAGACAATAGCAATACCTATTTTGATATTCAGTAAAAAAAAAAAAAATCCATATACAGAGGCTTAGCCAAGAGTTAGTATTCAATGCGCAGTTATTACTATTTTGTGATTATTATTAACAGTGTTAACTGGGTCTCAGGGGCCCACCTGTCTCACCCCAGGCTTAGCTCTGCTCAACTTCCCCCTCCTCTCCCTCTAGCCTTTCTGGCTTCTGCTGTGCTAGGAATATTCCCCACTCAGGGCAGTTTCCAGGCTGTCAACATGCCTCCTGTCCCCTGGCTCCCCAGCCACTGGTGTTCCTGCCCAGCTCTTAGCAACCCACCTTGTCTTCTCCACACACTCCATAGAGAAGGCCTCTTTCCCACTCTGACTTTGGGCAGTGTGATGTGAGTCCCCATCGGAGTTTCCCAAGTTTAGCAGCTCCCCAGGCCTTGGGGTAGGTTCCCTGATGCCCTGGAGGATGTCAAGGTTTTGGAACAACTCAGGCAACTCCGGTAGAGGTGACAGAGGGTCCCATGGTGGCTGCATCTGCAGCCCCATGAAGCTGGGCCCTGCTGAGGATGCCCAGCCTGATCTTGCAACCCTGAAAAGTCTGAGGAAGGATGTGGCACAGTGACACAGGATGCTCTAGAGGTTCCCAGGAAGTCCCCAAGCTCGTGGCCTGGAGATTTATTGGCCTCCGGGTTCCCACTGTTGGGGGCCCAGGCTCCCTGCAGCAGCGCTTGGAGAGGGGATGATGGGAAGATGCCGAGGAACCACCCATGAGGAGTCTCTGTGTGGCTTGTTTCTATTATTCTAGAAAGGCACTGTTGAAAGAAGGGTTCCAGATACAATACAGGAAGCCCAATTTTGGACACAATTTACACTAAAAATTATTCATTGTTTCTCTGCAATTCAAATTGAACCGGGTGTCTCATACATCTATTTTTATTTTGGCTAAGTCTGGCAGCCCCATTTGAGAAGAGCACTGTCTCAGAATTGGGGCTGCGGATTCTTTACTCTTCAAATCAGCCAACCAATGCCAGGCAGGCAGTGCTGTTACCCGTCACGCGAGGCCCCTCACAGCCCACTCAGCTGAGGCTTGTCCTTGTGTTTCCATTTCTAGCCAAAACCACCACCAGGACCCCTTGGGGTCCACCTTGGTGCCCCCAGCACCCATCAGCACCTCCCTGCAGTCTCCTCACAGCCCTTCCTGTCTCCCCACTCCCAATTCCAACCCAGAGGCCAGAGGGAATTTCCCTCCTGCAGCTCACCACATCCTTCACCCTTGAACCCTCTCCGCACCCCCTTTCCTCCTTGCCAGGTTGCCCAGGGGGAGTTTGCAGGCCCAGAGGGTCTGGCCTGTGCCTTCTTCTCCTGCCCATCTGCCCCTGTACCTGCCCATCTTTCTCCAGTCTGCATCCCAGAGCCATGTTCAGGTCCTGGAATAGCTTCTTTCTCACCTTTGGGCCGCTCTCTCCAGTGCATTCTCCCCTGCACCGTGTGTTTGTGGAGAGATGATGGCATATCTTTAAAGTCTTGGCTTTACACAGCCCACTCCCTTCCAGGCTAGGCTAGGGCATGGTCCCTGACTCCAAAACTGGGGCAAGGCCTTCTTTCAGATCCCTTCCCCCGAGACAGAAGTTATTCTCCATGTTACAACTGTCCTCGTCTGTCTCACCCGCCAGATTGGGAGTGTTTTGGAGACAGGTGTTCTGTCTTATTTGCTCATTCGGTCATCACACAATTGTTACACACATATATTTTGGGCACTGAGCTAGTTGGCAAGGACATATAAATGAGCAAGTCATCACATTTTAGTGCGTATGAGTGTCACGCAATAAGCAATTTAGTAAATAAACAGAAGATATGACAGGTGGTGACATGTGCTATGAAGGAGGATAAAGCAGGGTGAGGGGAGAGAGTGGCAGGGGACTCTATGCTGGCTTTCAGCAGAGAGACCGTGGAGAGCAACCCTGGGATGCTGGGCTTGGGGGTGCAGGAGAGGGTCAGCCAGCTGGCCTGAGAGGACTGCAGCCTAGAGGGAAAGGCTAGAGTCCTACAGCCTTTGAGAGCGCTGGAGGCGAGGCAGAAGGGAGGATGAGCCTCTGAGATAAAGCTCTTGGGGCTGGGGTGGCCCTAGGTTGGGGTACCCTCTGTTAGAAGCAAAGTCAAGGTGGAGGAAAGCTTCTCTGAGTTGGGTCTGGAGGATCCCAGAGTGTGAGAAAGCAGTGAGCTTCCGTACAGAACTTTCCAATCTTGGCAGGTTAGCCACCGGTAGTGAGAGTCCACAGAAATGAAAGAAATGACAAGTTTACGCAGGAGATGTTTGAAGAAATAAAAGCGAAAATTAAAAAGATGAGCATATAACACTAGAGTTGAGAGAGATTTGGGAGAAAATGGAACTTCTAGAATGAAAAATATTATTTCAAGATCTAAAATTCAATCAACGATAAACAGTTGAATGGAGAATTAGTGAGCCAGAAGTTCTTTCTGAAGAATGAAGCAAAGAGGGCCGGGGATTTAGCTCAGTGGTTCTGTCACCTGCCTTGCAAGTGCAAGGGCCCAGGTTCGATCCCAGGTACAAAAAAAAAAAGAATGAAGCAAAGACAGGTAAGGAGTTGGATAATATGAAGAATGATTCAGAGATGTAAAGAAGAAAATGAGAAGATCTTATATATACATTTGTGTTCCAGAAGAAGAAAATAAAGGAAATGGAAGATAGGCAGTATTTGAAAATAAAATGGCACTAACTTTTCTAGGAGTGGTGAAAGACAGATCTATAGGACCAGGAAACAGAAAGTGGCAAAATATATGAAAATAAATTCACACTTGTACACATTTTGTTGAAACTACAGAATGCCAAAAGCAGAGAGAGATGTTGAGAGCCGTCACCGAGAAAGGACAGATTGTCTCCAGGGGGTGACAGAATGTGAGCCGACTTCCCAAAGCCATGACGGAGACAGAGTCTGGAGCTCTCTCTTTAAAGTGAAGAGCAAATAAAGGCCAGCTTAGAATTATGACCAACAAATAACCTTTCAGGAACCAAGACAAAGGGAAAAACACATTTCTTTTAACATTTATAGGTAAATACAAGTGGAGAGAGGTATAAAGAAACTTCAAAAAGATGTATTTCAAAAAGGAAAATGATTCCAGAAGGTCAGCCTGAGCTACGAGAAGAAGGATAAGCATAGACCGTGAAAAATGTAGGGAAAGCCCATTTAAAAATCATCTATGAGAAATAAAAATGTCTCTTCTTTTCGCCTCCCTCCCTCCTTCCTTCCTTCCTGTGGTAAAGACAGGAGGATTGAAAGTTTGAGGCCAGCCTGGACAACATGGAAAGACTCTATCTCAACAAATAAAATACAATGAAAGGACAGTTAAGAGGTAAGAGGTATTAAGATTGAATGCAGGGCCAGAGATTTTAGCTCAATGGTTCCACCGCCTGCCTTGCAAGTGCACGGTCCAGAGTTTGATCCCTGGTACAAAAAAAAAAAAAAAAGAATGAAATGCAAAACACAACCCAGATGTATAGTGCTCATAAGAAGCACAGCTCAAGAAAAGGACGTGGAAAGTTTAAAGTAAAAGGATAAATCAAGATATGTGAGGGAAAATGTAATCAAATGGGAACCTGTGTAACATTTTGATATAAAAATAAAATAGATCTGAAAACAAAATGCATTGAGAGACATGGAGGTGATCACAACACAATGATGAAGTATGCGATTCACCAGGAAGGTGTACTATAGTAGCCTCAAAAGATATAAAGCAGTCTGGTGTGGTAACATAGACCTATAACCCCAGCCCTCTGGGAGGCTGAGGCAGGAGGATCAAAAGTTCAAAAAGTTCAAGTCTACCTGGGCAACTTGGCAAGAAACTGTCCCAAAATTAAAAAGAAAGGAAGGAAGGCAGAAAGAGAAAGAAAGAAGTGAAAGAAAATATGAGATGTAAAACAAAAATTGAACAAAGTGCCAGGCATGACAGTGTCCACCTGTAATCCCAGCACTCAGGAGGCTGATAGCTGTGAGGTCAATGTCAGCCTGGGCTACAGGAGGGCAAGGGAATGGGAAAAAATAGGAAGCAAGACACATCATGTAAAGGCACAAGGTCCCAATGATGAATGCAACTGAATTGTTTACCTTAAATGTACCAAAAAGTTTAATGGAAAAAAGAAAAAAATTGAATGAAGAAGGAACTAAAAAAAACAAGTTAGAGAGCTATACAATGTCCATGGTCGGAAGACCCAATATTGTCAAATTGTGGAGATTCAATAAAACCCCAGTCAAAATCACAAGAGACTTTTCCCTCCACAATGTTCAAAGGCAATTCAGTGGAACAAAGAATACTGTTTTCAACAAATAGTGCTGAAACAATAAAAATCCATATGCAAAAAATGAGCCTTGACCCATATCCAGAACCATGGACAAAAATTGACTATAACTGAATCATAGGCCTAAATCAGAGGGGAATTAAAAAAAACTTTAACATATTTTATACTTACTGAAAAGTTGCAGATAATCCAGAGAATCCCCATGTACTCACACCCCACTTCCTGTATTGCTAACATCTTGGT